ATAAAGGTTGAAGAAAAAATAACATGTAAGTGAACAACATCCAAAACGAGGAGCAAATTTCGAGAGTTAAGTTTTTAAATGTGGTGTGAGAGCTTGACAGTGAAAATCAGTTGTAGTTCAAGTAGGTAGCCTAAAGGCAGACTTTCATGGTTTTGGTTGCAATAGTAAAATGGGTTACTTTTCTTTTAAATGCCACTTTCAGCGGAAATAAGATGAGAAAGTTGAAGAACTCTTTTTGTGCCACAAGACTGAACATTTAGGGCCCTGACCTCACACATAGTTGAGCAGGTCTGAAGCTCTTCTTGCAAGTCGTTCCAAATTCAGTAGTACTAACTAAACATGTTCAGCAGAGATTGCAGTGTTGAGGACTAGCATTGTATCAGTAATAATTTGCATTGTGTGTTGAAATTTATAAATTAGCCATAAGAATGAGTGTGTTGCCTCATTTCTTTGAAGAAAAAGCTTTGTTGAATATAAAACAGATTTTTGAAAATTAGCTTCCTGTTCCTTTCTTAGGTGCCGAAATAGCTGAAAAGTACAATTCAGACTGATGTCACGCTATAAATATTGATGAAGTTCTATTTGGCAGCTGGTTATGTTCAAAGTTGGTGTTTGCAATTATAGTTTAGAATTATTTGCTTAACAACTCAGCATTTGTTTTCTTTGACAATAATAGTGCTGAGATCTTGGACTTCTCTGCATGTATAATCATGCTAGTGAGAAGTCAAAACGTCCTTGTGTAAGAGAACCTCTCTGTTATTAATCATTAGAAGTGACATAAATATGGAACATTATTTTGGAAAATTTCACGGTGTAAGCTGTAAAAGAGTGAAGTTTAAAAAGCAGATTGTGACTTTAAGCTTCATTGTCCTTCTGACTCCCCTGGCCTTTCTCCTGGCTGTGTCCTGGCTCAGCCTGGCCGTGACCTTCTGCCCGAGGCTGCGCTACAGGGTGGGTGCAGTGCCGAGACCTGGAGCCTTTGAGGGGCAGCAGGGGATGCTCGTCTGCCTCATGGCTGCTGCGGGACTTAGCGCCGGTATTGCCGTGCCGGTGTGAATTCCTGAACGACGCAGCTCTTCTTGTGAAAGCCAACAAAGCAAAAGGATCGTTTAACACAGGAGACTTTGATACTCTTCTAATTAAACACGGGAAGATTGTAAGAACTAGATAGTTTGAAAGGCATGGTATTTTCCATTCCTGTCCCGCATGTGAGTGATTTTTAGAAATGTTGTCTTTAGCTCTTGTAATTGCTGCGGCCGGTGAATGAGCACTGTTCCCCCTTTCCTCTGCACATGGCTGCCTACCACCTTATCAATTTTAATTTAGTTACTGCTGCTGGGTTTGATAAACATACTGTTGTATGGAACTTGATGAGTGTTACTGGTGGTTCAAAAGGAAACCTTCGATCTTGAGTTGACTTTAGTGGTATGAATAATCTGACAGGATGATTCTGTTGGGATTATCAGCAGCAAAGGAGTTATTTATAGCTTTCAGGTTTAAAGTTGAGCTGTTGAGAAGCAGGCTTCTCACTCATCTCAACGTTTTGCTTAAGATAGAGAAAAATGCTTCATGTCTTTGGTCTAGTATAACATCCACTCTTCATCTCTCCTTAGAAAACTCTGGTCCTCTGTATTCTGAAGACTTTGTTGCTTTGCAAATGCCCTGAAGTAAAGGCTTGGTTGCACTGGTGTAGCTCCAGCAGCGCTGAATCCTTGGGAATGCTGGTATACGTGGATTGCTGGAATTTTGAGCATGTTGTTTGCAGGCCATTTTTGACACCGGGGCACCATTAAATGCCATGATAGTTGTGATACTTAGGGTAGTGACTGCTTTTGTGCCATTGGGATTCCGAGCATTGCTACTGTTAAGAAGTAGTGGCAGCATTAGCAGTGTTGAAGTAATCCTTTTCTGTGCTGAAAACTGATAATTTGCAAGACCTAATAGAGCCAGAGTTTTTAGAGTGAAAAGAATGGTTCTTTGTTTTGGTTTTTTTGTTTGTTTTTTTTTTTTTTTAATGTGATAGTTTGTTTCCAGCTTTGCAAAACGAATCTCTTGAGTGGGTTAAACTTTTATGTGGAGTGTAAAAAGCAGCTGGTGTTCTCAACTCACTGTGTTTTAATTCCTTGCTGCTCCAGGTATCACCATAACTCTTACTGTGATGCTGGCTGTCCAGAAGGTGCCATCAGTCAGTCAAGACACACTACTTCCAACAACCTGAGTTTGATAGTTTCCATAAACATTGTGGTGTAGAGTGTTGAAGGTCTTGAAGAGAAAAAGTAAAAATAATTTTGAGGGTGTTTTGTTACATACCTGTACTGTATCTACACACATATATGTGTATATATACATAAATGTGTGTATATATGCTTCAGTCACAGCGAAAATACAGGGTGCAACAAAGCACAAAGGACTTTGGAAAATGTAACCACTTGGCAGCCTTTGGCTGATTATAGTTGGGATGTAATCTTGATTACAGCTGAGAAGTGATGTGTAGTGTATGTAGTGTACAATAGGTTGCTGTGGCAAAATGAGGACAAATACCTTTTAGGTTCACTGTGACCTTTAATGGCTTCTTGAACATAATTGGTATGAACAGAAAAGTGGGGTTTGTGCTCCTTTGTACAGTAGAAAGTGGCAAAATGTGTAAGCAAAACATTTTTTAAAATAAGCTTTTTGGTTTACTTTTCCTTTACTGGAAGGAGATACATTTAGCACCTTAAATATTGTTTATGTAAATGGTTTGGAGCACTGAGAAGGTGATGATGAAGGATTCTGTCCTTACATTTCAAGACTGTCTTTAGACTCAAAGGTTAGAGCCAGGATTTTTTAAATTGAAAGTCTGATTTAGGACCATTTGAGAAGTATCCCTTTGCATGTTTCACCCATCTCCCTTAATGATGAATCAAAAAGGGTGACATTCTTTAATGAGAAAAAACCACAAATTCATTAATGGTTGGATTTTCTTGAGCAGATCATGTTGTGTAGCTGTCCATTTTAAACCTCCTGACATCTTCAGGAGCACTCTGTTTTATGAAATGGTTTGTATTTGAGTTGTTCATGTAAAAAGACTTAAGTGCTGTGAAGTGACACTTGTGTTTTGAACATATAGGTTGTCTTTAAGTTCCTTTTGGTCCTTCTGTTCTCATGTTACTTTAGAAGAGCAGTACAGAGTAATGTATATGATATCCATTCCAAGTTACAGCTATTTATCTTGTTAAAAGTACTTGTGTCTCATCCACATGAACAGCTGAAACATTTTCCATATGTTACCAAAAACACCAGTGCAAAGAATTAAATACGGAACAAATTATGAAGTTGTGCAGCCAGTGCTAAATTAAACATGATGATGGACACCCTTTCTCATGTCATGTTTTGCTATAGAACATCACAGTGATTTTGTGAAATATGTGACTGCCCTTCCTGAATATTCCTCTGGATTTTTTCCAAGAGAGATTGAGGATTTCTGCCTTTCCCCATTCCTCCCAGCTGCTTTGTTTAGAGTGATATCTTTAGTTCGTTTTTCCTTGAAGTACTAATCCTTCCTGGATTTCCTTCCACCTAAGTAATGCAAAGAGATTGTTCTAAACCATGTGAAATAAAGAGGTTGCAAATCCTCTTCTCAAACACCAGTAGTATCTCTCCTCCTACCAAATTATTTGGTTACAAGTTATTATTTCCATCTTCAGCCTTGAAAAGTGAAGTGGAGAATTACCATGACAGTGAGACCAGGGTTGTCCTGGGTAATTTTATAGTAAGTCATGGCTTACCCTTCTGCTGTGCTGTGGATGAAAAACCATGAAATATTTCTGTGTTGTTGTGAATGACTTGAAGCCAATTTCCCATCTCCTAATTGAGTATGTGATGTTTTTGTTTACATCAGCAGCTGATTTTTGTAAGATGATGTTTTAAGACAGCTTGAGGCCTTTTGACCACGGTGTGCTCTTGGTTGCTTTATCAGAATCACCCCAGAGCATAAGTCAGAACCAAGTTCAAAATTAAGCTTGTGTCTGTAAAACCTTTGCTCACTAGTAAAGGGACAGGTAAACCACAGTGGCAGGTGAGGCTCCCTTTTATCACCAGTTGTGTTTTCTAGTCAGAAATTGTTTGAATGGAAATCATGCCCAGAAAAATCGTAGTTAATGCTAGAAGATCAGGGAAAAAAAATACTCAGTTTATGGCAGTTAGTCCAATGACAGGAATGCTTTGTTCTTAAATGATGCTGTACATTAAGGTGCAGTAGCCAACAAAATGATGCAGTGAATTTAGAAAAGTGCCACTTGTTCATAGCCCTTACAAGAAACCCCAATAAGGGCAACTGGAATAATTTAGATTTTAGTGAAGTTAACTTGGATGTATAGCGTTAAGCTGATGGTTCTGGACTTCTTTTAATTCCTGGAAGTTGGTTATGTTTTGCAAAACCAAAACTGAAGTATTTAATACTGGCTGTGGTTAAAACAGATTATGTATGATTTGAAATGGGCATGACTGTAAGCCAGGGCAGTGCTGCTATGTTACCCTTTCAAAATAGGGTTAAATAGCTGACAATTGGTTGGTATGGGATTCATTTTTACACATAATATTTAATATTCAGGAGTTAATACAGGATTATGTAATCTCTTCCCTTGACTGCAAGGAAACACGCTTATGTGTGTTCTCTCAGTTCCGGTACAAGAAACCAGTTTCACCCCATGTTTTTCCCAGTTGTGAATAGCAATTATGTTTCTAGAGCCTCCTACTGTTCTGTTGTATCTCATAGTCAGTAGGAGATTCTCTCACACATGCTACCAGTGTTTACTGTTTTTCCAGATTTGGATGGGAGGTTGTGGGGAGAATTTTAAGAAAATATTTTCCTGATGGCAGCCTATTCCTTTCACTTCTGTGCACCTAAGTTTGCTGAGCTTTGGAGACAGCTGACTTTTGTTTTTATATTTGTTTTTAATTTACTAGTGACTACAGTTGGTTAATGTTTTAACTTTTTTTTGTTTTTTGTCTCCTTTTAGGGTTTTGTTTTTGCACTGAATGTAGCCAGGACGGATCCTTGTGGGCTTTGGCAGCCCTTGGAAACTGTCAAAGGTAAAAATCAACCAAAGCTCAGTATTGTGATCTTAAAAGTTGGAGGTGAGAAGAGCAATAGCCTGTGCTGGTTCTTAAGATACTGTAGGATATAGAACTGTATTAATGTGCTTTCTAATGTGTTATTTCCTGTGGGTTTGTGTGTGAAGTTTGTTATTGCCTGATGTGATTTGTTTCTGTAAGCTGAAGTTGATATGTATGATGTACAATTTTCTTTTAAAATTAGTTAATTTATGTTGAGATTTTTTAAGTCACTGGAAGTGGTGATCATTTCCTATAAGCAATAAAGTTATAGTCAAGGATTTTTTATCTTTTGAATGCTCTTGCTTTCAGAGCAACTTGCATTTAAAGTGACAGAAAATACCGTGTTCTTCTGTACATTAAATTTTGTGTTGCTTTTGTACATTCTTAACTCAATGTAATATAATACAGTGCTTTAGCAGTTGAATACAGTATGGCTGGATCATGTGTTAAAAATGAACATTTTGTCTGTACATAGGGGCTGCTGACAGTGGTGGTGTGTCGATACAATTGTGTCAAATAAGCAGTGTCATTTAAGGCACTGTTCAGTCAAGTAGTGCCTTGTTCTAGCTGCTCTTGTTTCAAGTATGCCATGTGTATGAGATCACTGCCTTGGAAGAGCACTTGTGTGCCTGCTTTGCTTGTGAGAGGGTTTGGGACCTACCTTCAGTTTCTGCTTAATGTCTGTAATGGTGACATTTGGCACAGCCTTACTGTCCTTCAGGGGGTTTCTAGTGGGCCATATCCAATTTAGACTTGGGAATTCACAGGAATCACTATTGCTTGTACATTAATAAGTGCTTCTCTTGCAGCTGCACTGTTTAGAAGCTTGAAGTAGGTTTTTTCTTCCTTATCAGATGAACTTCAGTCCATATTTGATTCCTGCTGCCAATCTTAAAAAAAAAAAAAAAAGTGTTGCTGCACGAAAGACCCTTGAATTAGACAAGGTGCTTAGCCCCAGTGATGCCTGTTTGATGAAACCAAATTTGAAATCATTGTAATTCCAGCTCCCTCTTGCTATTGAGGACATTGCATTTTTCCATGCTGGACCTTTCTATGTGGAGGGAAAATCAGGCCTAGAGGAAGTACCTTGTTCACTGGTATTGGTTTTCAGGGATTTATAAGTATATGGAAATTTTGTTCAGGTTTTACTTGCCAAGTGTGTTAGAATGCAGTAGTGCAGAGATGGTATCCATAAAGACACTGCACTGTTCTGCTTACACTGAGTGGCTGGTAACTGCATCTGGTGTGCTGATCCCAGTAAACAAAATGAGTACATCTTTGCTGCAGAAAGAGATGGAGCAAAAATAGGACTAAATGTCAAACTGGATTGTCCCAAAACCATACTGTTTAATGGCAGGACAGTATTGCAGTAGGCATTAAAGTTAGTAAGAAATCCAGCTGGTTCGTATTAATAAATGTTTTTACCTTTGAGAATAGATTCTCATCACTGTATAACATTTTTAAAGAGTCAAATAAAAGTTGTTCCTAAGTTTAGATGTGCATGTGCTACATTGTATGTGGGCATACCAGTGCATTGCTATTTGTCAGGCCTTCCTTGGTGTTACCTTACTCCAGTTAAAGTTAGTTAATTTTTCTGAAGGATATCAGGTGAATAAAAAAATTGAGGGATTTCAGTCACACTTCAAGTAGTTTGGGTGGATATATGCAAGGGTAGAAGAGGATTAGCTTACTTTTGACTTTTTCCAGGAGTGACTTTCTTGATAGGTGTTGGATCTGAAAATCTAAATGGGCTGTCTGTAAACTTTCTTTTTATCACCTGGGAGCCTGACATGTCACATTAAGTATTGAATATAAATAAACAAATGCCTTTAGGCTTCTGGCATTTTCCTGATCCTACAGGATGCTAGTACAACTTCTTACTTCCCGCTCATCCTCCATGTATAAAATAAACGACCTGTGTGTCACCTTCAGGACATTGCTCGGAAGCTGGTGAGCTGCAGAGGTGATGTCTGTAACATGGAATAATTGTTATTTCTTCATGTGCTTGCAATAAGCAGTCTCTGTTGGCTAAGAAGTCACCCTCAGTTGTAAATGACTGCTACAAAAGTCTGCCACAGAGGTAGTGTCACCTGGATTCAGAAATCTTGAAGTGTCTCCTTTTGGCAATAAATAAACTTGCAATGCAGCATCCTTGTGTCACTGGCTAAGGGAATCAATGATTCATATATGCAAAAGATCATAAAAATTATTGAATTGGGCTCATAGTTTATTGCAGATGTTTGGTCTCATGAAAGAAACCAGAAGCAAATGCAACCAAGTATTAAAAAAACCCAAACCAAACAACAAAAGGACAGCGTTCAGCAAAACCTCCTCTTGCAACACTTCTTGTAGTCTGTGGCTTAGGGTCTTCCTGCACTAGCTAAAAATTTTTGTTGGTGGATTTTCTTTTTCTCTTGTGAAGTTTTCTAGTAAATTACTGAGCCTTTTAGAACTTCTGCCTTTTTACCATCCCAGGTGAGGGAGTTCACTCAAAGTAAGTATTGTGAGACATAATATTATATGATTTTTTTAAAATGTTAAAGCAAATAAAAAATCATGGGATAAATTAAGAGAGAAAATGATAAAAAACAAAATACAATGGAGAAGAAAAAGTGTTTATTCATTCAATTTCCTACTCTAATCTCCGAGTTCTGGATAGTTCCAGTGTATTTAATCTGTTGTCTGTGGATAAGCTTGCTTTTCTTTGTTCTTGTAGCCTTTCCATTTTTTTAAATTTCCTAGTTCTGCTGACCTTTTCTTTCCTCCTTTGAGATGCACTGGTTGGTAGTTTTTGTGTCTTCTTCCAGGAGTAATGTATAAAAACTGGAGTCAAATACTGCCAATTCCTCTGGAGTGAGGGATCTCAGAAGATAAAACATGTCAGTTTTTCAAAGGCTTATGTTTGAGTTCTTCCAGCACTCTGAATGAAAAGTGACTTCCCCTTGCAGTGCTCTTGGTCTGACCTTTCTGGTCTTGTTTTATATGAAAGCTTTTTTTGATGCTTCTGTAGCTCATGTTCATTCTTGCTTATTTCTCTGACTCTTGGCCCAATCACTGCCACAAGAATCCTTCTGGCCAAAGCTGTTTTGGCTGTTAGACATCGGACTGTCTGTCTAACAAAAATCTGAGGAGTTTCCCAGTTACTTGACTCTGATACTGCAAAATCATGTTCCAAAACTCCCAGCTCTGGACGTTCTTGAGTGGGTTTCAGAAACCAAGCATGGCAAAGAAGCACCATGGACAGGGACTGCCCAGCCTGGCCTCCTCCACTGTGGGTGCAGAACAAAAAGCTGGAAATATTTGCTATAGGCAGGAGGATCTTGGAATAGATGTCATGCTTAGCATTTGATACCTCTGATTTTTGATTATGTGCTGAAGGCAGAATGTTTAAGTGAGGATTTGGATAAGAGTTCACTTTTCTCCTCATTCCTTCTTTTCCCAGAACAGGAAATTGCTGCGCTCTAAGTCTTTACAGTCTTGCGCCTGGCACTAGAGTGTATGACATTGCTGAATGTAACAGCTTGTCGGTTGTAAGATTTATTAAGTTTTATGTAACATTTTGTAGCTTCAGGCCCTTAACGTTTGTAGAACATGTTCTTCACTCCTTGAGTCAACCATGCCAGATGTTGTTTTACCTATGTGCAACATAACCGGAGTTTGGAGTGCGGACAGCCTTACACTCTGAACAGCCATTAACAATGAAGTGAAGGAGGTGCATCATTTAGAAGCTTTCTGCTGTCAGTTTTACAGGCTTGGAATTGCTGCTGTGAAGGTGACAGTCAGCAGTTCTGTAGCTGAGGTGCAGAAGTAGAGAGATTTGAAATGGATGTTAAATGCTGGTGAGTTGAAGAGTTACTTAATCTTGAGAGGGACAACTGTTAAAGGCCAACACTCTTGGCTTTTAGAGAATTCTTAACTTAGTGTACTCAGTGTGAGCCCTTACTTTCCATATACCTGGAATGTTAGAGATCTGGTCATGGCTCATGTCTTGCATTTTAAGTGCAAGAGATTCCTGCTGAATTTATGCTCGTGCGTTTGATCTCTTAAATTGATTAATTTGATCCATTACCCCTGAAAAATGCCTCATCCTCTGGAGTAAAAGACATTCTAATCTTAAACACCAAAGTCTCCCTAATTGTATTGCATCCTTCCATAAGTTACTTTACAATTTGAAGAATGGAGTTTGGGGTGCGGATTTTGTTCAGTTGGAGCTGCACTGATACTGTCAAACAAACTCGAAAATAGATTACTCAGTAGTGTTGAATATTGGAAACACTGGGATTGGTTGACCTGGGTTAAATTGTAAATGTCAACCTGAAGGTGAATGACTTTAAATGATTCAGGGAACAGACAGATTCTAGAGTGTATTTTTTTTTTAGAATGAAGTCAAGGAAAAAATCCTGAAAGTAAGACTTCAGAGGTACAGTTAGATCACTGGAAGTCTTAACAGTTTTTCAAACTAATAACCTTTAGATTGTCTTGAAGCTGTGTCTTTAAAGCTTATATTTGCACAAAAGCTATTTCCTAGTAAGAAAGAATTGCTCAGCTCTGGTCTGTGTGATCGTTCCTTGCTGACTGTGGCTTTAATGAGTAAAATCAGTGACTGCATTAAATACTCAGCAATGACACTTCAAAGTTAAAAATAAAGTATATTCAAGTTAAGTGTGTTTTTTATTTTAATTAAGTAGTTTTGTCTTATCCTGAATAGCAGTTCTCGTTTGGGTGAAACATAATTTCAGCAAATATGTGCAGAATGGCAGCATTAAAGGTCGTAGCCTAGAATTGTTGTTTATGTGCACTGCAATCTCACATAACATTGTTAAAGGCAGAAAAAGAATTGTTTTTAAAATACATCTTTGTTTTTCTTTTAGGCAGTATTTTGCATTTCTGCAGAGCTTTGCACAGATCCTGTTCCCATGCAAACTGATGAGGGAGAAGTACTGGAGGAAGGCAGTCCCAAGGTCAGTGAGGTAAATGCCACTGTGTTTTGGAGGAAGAAAAGCTTGTTTGGCTGAAATGGGGGGTGGGGGGGTGTACCTGGATTGAACATCGACTGGTGATGGTATTTTTAATAAATACCTTCATGTAGATGCTTATTATTTATTGTTGTGGAGATACTAAAAAAAATTAAACTTTGAAAAACCTTTTGAAAGACAGGGGTTTTGCTCCCCACTAAGGATTGGAACATGTGTTTTTAAGCACTTCCAGGAAGGAAAGAGAAAACTTGTAAAAAGATACTAACCCTGATTGTATTTAATTTGTGATAACTGGAAGCATTTTCTTTTCTACCCACCCACTCTCTGAACTAACTTAAGGACTTAGACATGTGGGCCCTTAGGTGCAGGTGTTGGTGTCTGTGGATTGCTGACTGACCTGTATTGAAGGTGTGCTGCTTCTTGTTTCCTTGTACTTGTTTTGTTTTGTGAGACTGGCTTGTGTGTTGCTTTTGAAGGCACCTCTGATTCTCAGCATACCTTGTTGGGACAGGAGCATGTGAAGTGTTCTGTTGAACACAATACTGTGTCCTGCTTTCTGTTTTCTTCCTGAAGATGCAAATGTTAACTTTGGTTTTCATAATGACATAGTCATTGGCATACTCTTCTGAAGGTTTATAAATATGGTTTATAGTCCTGACTGCTCAATGAGTTAGTGTCAACAATCTGTGTTTAAAACATGCTCCCTACATTTCACAAAAATCTGAATCATTGTTAGTTTGCTTGTAGCTTTGTGTAAGAGAGAGACTGAGAAATTAAAAACTAGAAGACTCAAGTTAAAATCTGTTTCCTAGGTAGACCTTTGGAGAGATGCTTTCATTGTTTTAGGGTATAAGAAAAAACTTTTTTAGCTGTAAGCACCAAGTTAGGAAGTAAGTAAGTAATTATTAGAGAAAGGATTTGGCAATTGTGCTGCATGTACTTTAGGAGTTGTGTTAATTTTAAATAGCTTTGAAGGGAAGGTCGGCTCTAGATTAGGAGCTGAGAACATATCAGTGGATGTACTTGCAGCAATCCAGGCTATTGAATGTATCTTTTGACAAGGATGTGATTACAGGTTTCAGTGGGGAATAGACATGAGAGAGGAGACATCATGGTGCAATTAATTACTGATTATAGCACAGTTATTGGTGTTGTCTTTTCACCTCGCAGAGAGGATCTTTGTGTGTGTGTGAACACACATTTATGTGTATACAAACAGGTGCCTGTGTGTATATTTATGGATGCACAGCTTTCTTTTTTTTTGCCTGTGTGGCAGGAAGTAGATTGAAGTGACTGTCTTTTCATCCAATGAAGGGTATGCTTTTCTTTGGCATATTTAATTCTGGATATAATGGTAAAGATTGTATATCTGCTCCAAAAATTGAGCGAGCTTAAATTTAAAACAAAATTCTTTATACTGACTTTGAATACCTAAATGTGTATGAAGTATTGCTTTGAAACAATTAGAGAATGTGGGAGATCAGGAATTGTGCATCTGGTATTTAGTATTATTAATAAAGGACTATAGAGGATCAGTGTATATTAAGCAAATAAGTCATGATTACATCTAGTCCTTCTCCCCGTTCTGTGATGTACAGGACTACTCACTGAAGTCTGGTTTTCAGTGTTTCTTCAATCTGTAAATTATTATCTTCTCCTTGTGTCAGGAGAATTTTGTATCTATAACAGTTGAAGGTTTGTCCTAGAAAATTGTAGTCAAAATATATTTCACTATGTTGTCTAGTATCATTGACATTATTCCCTCAATTTACAAATGTTTGCATGATCCAGTGACCATTTTCATCAAGATACATTTTCCTACCTTATTTAGATACTCAGTAATGTAGTTCAGTTTTTTCCCTTTTGTCAGGTTATTTCCCCATCCTTCCCCACCCTCTTCCAACTTTTTCAGGCAGAAGACCTGAGGTATACTTGAATGAAGTATTCTGAAAGAGATGAGAGTAAAATCATCTTCTGTGGAGATACCATGAGTATCAGGATATAAAGATTTGGATACTGCAAGAATTAATTTTTTTTTTTTGTCATACCAGCCTGAAAATAACCTAAATTTTACATGAAGATTCTATCATAGAGTGGAAAACAAATGATATGTCATGCTGTATGCTTGTGAACTGGTTTGGTTCTATAACTCAGATTAGTCTCAGATTTTCTGGCATCCTAGACTGTATAGTATTTTGAGACATCCTGGTCAAGACTTGAAAATAAAAGATTTCCTCTGGTTTTGAAGAAAAAATTATATTATACCTTATGCAGAGCTGAGCAAGTCACTTTAAAGCCTAAATATTTATGGCCTTCAAACTAATGAACACTATGTAATGTATGATCAGAAAATTTAAGCCCTGCAGTCAGACATCATGAATAATTATCTTCTTGCTTGATTCCTAACAACCTGGTGAGACAATTGTAAAGTCAGCTCTTGAAATGAGGGGCAAGCTCAGTGGCAACTCACTGGAAATCAGGCTTATGGATGGTTATTGATAGACTCAGTTCCTACTTTACTGTTTATTTCTACCACTGTTGTTAATGTATACATTTTTATTTAATTAGTAATTTATTTTTTTATTTTGTGGTTGCTGAGTTGTGCTCCTGTTCTCAGTTTTGCATACACTTCCTTTAAAATGGCCTCAACATGGTAAAGACAGCTGGCACGTGTCAATAGCATGCTCTTGATTCCAATAATTACCTAATGTTAGTGCTATACAGAGAGGAAGCAACCTGTGCAGAAGTCAGTTTTTTCAAATAAGCATATGAGTTTGAAAAATTAATTCAGTTTTGGCAGATGAGGAAGTCTTACTTTATAATAATATCCAGTCTATTTTATCCAAGTGACCTGCTAGTGAGTATCATACAGTGTAGTATCCTTTCACTTTTTAGAATAGTTTGGGGTAGGCTGTCTGGTTTCTGGCTTTTCAGTGTCTCTTTTCTTCCTTTAAAAAAAGTAAAAAAAGAAAAGAATCATAGAATTGTTCAAGTTGGAAGAGACCTCCAAGATCATTGAGTCCAAGCTTGGAATACCACCATGAGGTGGCAAAGGCTCACCAGGCAAGGGAATTTTGTAGGACTGACCTCTTCAGAGCTGGGAATCCAAGCAAGACCCTCATGGTGTTTTTCCCAGTCATGTTTGCTGAAGCTGCTGGTGGGAAGCAGGAAGCACTGGGTCATTCTGGAAGTGAAATCTTCTGCTACCCCTCCTTCACAGCAAGAGGAAAAGAAAACCAGTGTTTCTGATTGGAACCCTATACCCTTTACTATTATTTGGATTATGATTTTTATTTTTAATTATATTTTGTGGTAGCTAATTAGCTACTAACAATTACTAGGCCTTTTCCATTAACAGCCTTGGTACCTTGACAATATCAACAAGCACTGAACTTATTGTTTTTGACTGATTTCAACTGGTTTGATCCATCAGTTAAGGATTACTGCACAGGCAATACTTAAACTTGGTTTCTTGGTTGTTCCTTTGCTGTAGAATATTGCAGGAGGAAGCTAAAATTTTATGCCTGATTTGAAGTACTTTTAGATTTTTTTCAATGTTGGCAGGAGTTTTCAGCTTATGCAGAAAACTTCTTTATCAAAAAATGAAATTCAAATGCTCATGTTAAATGCAGATTTTCCCACTCTCCTTCTAGTTGTTCCTTCATGTCTCAAAGTAAAAGCCTATGAATTCAGAGGGAGTGAGGGACTTTGACTAAAGTAATTTATAGAAAGGTATTGATGAATTCGTGGTTTTGCTTCAGTGTTGTAGAAGGGAAAGGAGGAAAAATATATAGTTCTGCCATTTAAATGTTTTGTATAATAAAAATCTAGGTACACAAAATTTTGGTGAAAAATATGACTGCACAGGATGTCTATTAACATTTAATTCCTAATAAGAACAGGAAAAGGGGAAAGATTCTGTGTTGTGTGGTTTTAGGTAAATGTAATTTTATTCAAAGTTTTCATCAGTATTTATAGAAATAATTATTGAACTGAATTGGTAGACCAGCAATTAGGCTACTTTTTCATACTTTGGCTCTTTCAGAAGCAGTGACACAGACACTGAGGCTTGTCCTGTTTTTCAGTCTCACTGTCCAGTCCCACTTACAAGCTGTCTTGAGGCCTCCTGTTAATCCTTATTTTATTTCAAGTTGCTACACTGTTCATATCTGTTAATGGGAATCTCCCTTACATTACTGAAAACTGCCTGTTCTCAACCTGGTTAATTCTTAGTTTTCTTGCCTCTTGGTGTCTAATTGTGAACTGGCACTTGCCTTCTCTTTAAATCACTCTTTAGAACTCCGTTGGCACAGGCTGTGTTTTGTTGTGGTGTTGGGTTTTTTGTTGTTGTTGTTTTTTGGGGTTTTTTTTATCCTGAAGCGTTCACAGAGATGATAAAAAGGTTAAAAATTATGTGACTCAAGTATCTAAACACTTGCTTTTGCTTCATACATGTTAATAATAAAGGAACACAAGCCTGTGTTACGTTAGGTGTTTTTATATTTATAAACAGAATCTTAAAATTCACAAGGCAGTGGTGTTAGGAGTTCTCTTTCCTAAAAGCAGGAATTGTTGCGATGTGATGTCATGGTTTGCCTCAGATACCCCAGGTTTCTCCCTAAGGCTCGTCTCATTCAGCAATATTGGTAATTCCAATAAGGAATGTTCCACTGACTGCATTTATAGGTAAGGTATGCTCATTTCCTGATGTGGATGTTGCATAATGATGACAATAGTGCAAAAGTTAGGCTGATGTTTTCATTTTCTGGGATTTAGAATTAATATAATGAAAAAAAAACCCCTTAGTTAAGTGATTAAACTTACAACATCCAAAACCTTGATGCCTGTATCTCTGGGGCTTACAATCCTGTTCAGTGATACAGAACTGGGTTTCTATTCAGATAGCACTAAATAATTTAAAACATTTAGGCCTATACAATAATGAAATAAACAGCCTGCTTTGTGACTGTAATTATAAAAAATATGTTTTCCAG